TATATGTTACTTGGTGTTCACGAAGATCCTTGAAGCTTCGCCGTCATGCACCCCCCCCCTCCCATTCGTGTGCAGCCGCCAGAGTCATTAATTGAACAAACACTTTCATGCTCATTCGCGGAAGCTTCCTCACAGGGAACTTCGCGCTTTTTTATTTGTATTTAAAAAAATCACTTACAATTTTAATCAATGAAATAATCAATCAACCAAGTATCTTTGTGTTTAAAATTTAAAAACTGGTAATTACTATTGCAGCTTTGAGTGTCCCAGAGCGTAAATAGTTATGTGTTATTTGTTTTAATACTAACAGTGAAATTGTGTCATTGAAGTAGACATTGAGTGATGGCTAGACGGTGTTAAGCTCTTCGGCTACGCTACAAATACGCATTGCACAGATTAACGTGATTCCCTTCCCGACATAGCACTTCTACAGGCTCTATCTGCAAATGAGTTTCAAGCAAAAGAGTGACTCTGTAGTAGAATACTCGACTGCCAATTGGAGTGCCAGGGTTGGCATTTTATTCGATCCTGGGTATTTTTTTCTTATTTTTTTGTCATGTCTCACCATTACTTTTTCATGCTTGTCCGTTTACGCCACCAACAGCAACGGTGATGGAGATAACGCTCAACACGAGAACTGGCTCCCAAGAGTTGTGCTCTAAAGAAAACTGCCCCGCCGTGCTGGTCTAGTGGCTAAAGTACTCGGCAGCTGACCCGCAAGTCATGGTATCGAATCCCGGCTGCGGCGACTGCATTTTAGATGGAGGCGAAAGTGCTCTAGGCTAATGTGCTCAGATTTGGGTGCACGTTAAAAAACCCCAGGTGGTCGAAATTTCCGGAGTCCTCCACTACGGCGTGTCTCATAATCGTATGGTGGTTTTGGGACGTTAAACCACACATATCAATCAATCAATCAATCTGGAGAAAATTAACATTAATGTCGAAAATAAACAATCTGGCAATATTCGCCTAGTCCACTTTTGTGGATCAGTAGCTAGAGTGCTCGTCTGCCGATCTAAAGGTCACGGGTTCGAACCTGGCCGTCGCGGTCACATTTCCATGGAGGTGAAATGATAGAGGCCCGAGTATTCTGCGATGTCAGTGCAGGTTAAGCAACACCAGGTGGTCGATATTTCCAGATCCCACGACGTCTCTCCTAGTCATATCTTGCTTCTGGGGCGTGAAACCCCAAGTATTATTATTATTATTATTATTATTATTATTATTATTATTATTATTATTATTATTATTATTATTATTATTATTATTATTATTATTATTATTAAACCCTGACACAATCATCCGCCCCATAAAAAGAGAAAGGCGGAAATGTTGTAGGCCCGTGTGCTCAGATTTGGGTGCACGTTAAAGAACTCCAGGTGGTCTAAATTTCCGGAGCCCTCCACTACGGCATCTCTCATAATCATATAGTGGTTTTGGGACGTTAAACCCCACATATCAATCATAAAAAGAGAATATATATAAGTATTATCGGTCACGTGCGTTTTTCCTTGATCCTATTGCCCCCGAACAGAATAGCAGTGGTGCACATTTTGAGTGACGTAAGGCAGCTGCTGATAATATCGGGCTCGAGTATCGATTGTATAACGTTGGCTATCTATTATGTTTTTCTACATGTGCCTAAGTGCATTTCGGTCGCACTGGCTGCCAAGCTAGTCCCTATGACTGAACAAGTGCTTTTGCAGCCAGGACATGCGTGGTGTAGTCGAAGGGGCGCCATAACAAATGTGTACAGTGGCGCAGTGGTGACGAAGTGGTTTTTGGAGCAAGAATATGACGTCTCGTCTCTCTGGAATTTATATAAACGCTCTAATGCATGCGAATCAGTGTGTGAAATCTTTTCACCCAGTTCAATTTGAAGGGTCAGTCAACTGCTCCAACCTTTTTTTTTTTACACCCCCATGAAGAAGCTCGGCAATGCATAGAGTAGACCACGGCTATTACGCTTTCCGAATATTACAGCACTGCGCGCCACGCAGAGCCTCCATTTAAAAAAAAACAACTCTTGCACTCTTTTCTTACGTACAACTGATTCTCCTTTCATGCACAGTGATGCAATGTCACCGGTTGGCGGCTTGACGAAGCACACAGCTCACCGATTGGTTTAAACCAGTCACGACGACAAGCCACGCTTTCCCCTCCCTAAGAGAGAAAAGGGGGGCTAGGCCACACAAAATTATGAACCCAGCTGAAACCAATGTTCTAGCCCCTGTAACTTCCGTACTATAGCACGTATTCGTAGAATTGTAGTGGTAGCATGTTCACAAAGGAAAAGTGTACATATTACTCTTCGTAAAATTTTTTGAATCTCGGGGTTGTTAATTACCCGCCCTTTAAACAAAACGAAGCTAGGCTTGTCTACGATGTTTTAAAAAATAGGCAAATATTAGACAGGAAGGAAGGGGGTGGGGGCATAGTGAAAGTGGTACATGACTCGAATTGAAAGGGGCTTCTCTTGTCCTGTTCTTTTTATTTCGTAACTGTTGCTCGTATGCTTCAATTGAGAACTCACCCACAATGTACAACAACTATACTGAATGCCAGTTACCGCTGTTAGGGATGGGAAGGAAGGTCACTGATGGCATCCCACCGCTGCCACCAGTTGTTAGATGTTGAAACGAAGGTCGCTGATGGCATCCCACCACTGCCACCAGTTGTTAAGGGTCGGAAGGAGGAACGCTGGAGGATACGAGATACAGAACATGGTTTATGACATTATTTACACATATTTACAGAAAAGAAGGGATAGTGGTTTCACAAACCACGAGCGTGGTGGTTGAACGTTACATAGTTCAGAGCGACGTCCAGCACTCTGCGGCGTCGTTTTATGCCCTGTCGGGCTCCTCCTCTCCGAGTCGAACACCAATCACGCACACACAGGTGAGGGGGGCGAGCATGCACGGTCCACGTGAACACTGCACTGTGGTGGCGCCAGCAGGGCTCTTCCTCATCGTGTGTGTGCCGTTAGTCGAGAGTTCCCACGATCCTGGCCGCATACTTCAAAGGGTCCACCGCACAGCTCGCCCAATTAGCGGGGCGATCTGCGGTGTCCGTCGCGGTCTCTTTCAGGAAGACGCCGTCCCTGTTGCCCTCTTTCGACGTGGCGTCGCGGCGACACGACGTCTCCTCCTCCGGCCAGCAGGGACAATGCCTGGCGGGCATAGGCAGTCGGCCGGTCGGCTACTTGACTGAGAATTAAAGAAGCGCCGCTCCGCCGTCAGCTCTGTCGCCGGCCACGCCAGCTTTTCCGTTGCCCGATGAGTCGCCGAGTCCATTAGTCACCGCTTCTGCTTGAAGGGACGACAAAAGGGTCCGCATTTGAAGGACGGGAACTCGCCTTTGCTTGCTGTTTGGTCTGGATAATAGCTCAAATCTCCGACAGCGTCCGTCAGACTGGGCGCCGAAGGGATTAAGAGCCTCTCCAGTGGACCGGCTTACGCCCCATGGCGTCTGCCCAGATGAATTTCCAGGCCAAACTTAACACCGCATAATAATAATTGACCACACTCTTTCGTCTGGCAGTTCCGTTACGCAGCATCATGGCTGGTACGTCATCCATCAGCAACCAGGACACCACCATTCCTGGAGAAATGCTGCAGTATTAAGAATTTAAGCATCGGGGCTGTGGGTAATTATACCACATTTTGTGAGGCAAATGGTTTCGTGTGCGTCTAACACGTTCGATCGGTGTATAGGCACTGGCACGGTAAACAAGTTGACCAAATACTCACAGCGTTCCTTCGAGCTGGGGCAGCTCGAAGACGAAATCTGCCTCCATTTTTCTTTTCAATCGATGTATTCGGATTCTTGTCAGCCCACTTTGAAAAGCTTTCCACATTCACCGTGTGTTCGCACTGAGAGGCCTTGTAAACTTTCTGCACCCGACATAGTTTAGCGCAGCCTCCGCGATAGATAGGCCCATGGGCCTATCGTGGAGGCCACATTGTTTCTGGGCAGCAGGTGCACCTGCGGCCCAGCGACAACGTCATATGAGGACATCATATAGTGATGATTTTTCCGCGTCACGCATGTTGGTGCTACCGGTTAGTTTCAGTGCTGGAGGAGCCTCATAAGGCTCCTCCAACTCTTTAGTGACTTGCTCTTGACAGAGTATGACAGACGCTTGATTCATGATGGACGGGCAGTGTTGCGTGTACCGGCGGCCACACGCTCCGAGTGTCCTGTTTAAATCCGTGAGTACTGCACATCGGGAAGACGTGCCAGTGGGCTGATGACCACCTACGAAAGCACGCCAGCAATATTGACACGAAGACAAGCGGCGATTTGTCGATTCACTGCGCAAGGTGCGGGCGTAACCCCGATTTCCAGTAAACGCGTATCGTTCACATTTATCGAGGTTCCCGAGCTCGAGAAATCTCTGAAGCCTTCGAAATGCGTAAAGGGGGGTTAGCATGTGTCATTAACAGACAACAAGATTAGCGGTCTGCACCGTTAGATAAGAGCAATGTGTAGGGTAGCGCGCATGCGCGTTTCGAGTCCCCCTCACTTCGTGTGAGAAAGCATATTTACTCGTGCTCGTACAAACAAACGCACGGTTTTCAATCCAACACTTGGTCCCGTCTGCTTGTTTCTGGGTCCACATTTTTCTTTTCACGCTGTTTCGCACCGACAAGAACTGTAGATGACTTACTTCCTCGGTCACCTTCTGCCGCGATACAAGCAAATTTATCACCCGCATCATGCCGTTAGTTGCTGTTAACTGCGACACTGGATGCTAAAGCGCCAATCATCGCGTCGATTGACATAGCGAGATAACAAGTCATGTTTTAGGGAAAACATCGTTTCTAACGACAACGGCAAAAACACATAAACATTGAAGAGTGACAAAAAAAAAAGACACAGTAGGGGCATGCGCATTGATTTTCTCGAATGCATATAATCTATAGGTAGTGCTGCAGCTATCTGCAGTAGTACGCGGTTCTACGATTCCGTCACCACCTGTACACCAGCAGCATTGCATTAGTATACCGCGACCGTACACCAGCAGCCATGGCTTCCATCTTTACGCACACACTCTTTGGCTTCGACTGCGGTTTAGACTGGCGCCCGACTGCGTTCGTGAAGCCCATTCCGTCGACCAGAATGTGCAATGCCTGCGGACTTGTGCCAGCAAAAGCGGTCACACTGCCTTGCCGCCACCTGCTCTGCTCGAGTTGCTACTGCCGCAACGGAAGCAAGCGTGACCGCTGTCCTCTAGACGGAGCAGTCTTCCAAGACGAAGACGTGGCGACTACCGTCTTTAGCAAGGAAAGTGTTTTCAGTCGTACGGTTCGGTGCTGGAACGCGCCACATGGTTGTGACGTCGCAGACCTCGCTCCTGCCATGATGGAGCACTTCGCCACCGCCTGCCGATTCCACGTCGTGCGGTGTTCCAAGTGCTACGGTGAATTCTTGCACGCGGACCTCGCCGACCATTTGCGGTCATGTCGAGCATCGTCTCCTGGTACAGGGCAGCCGTCCGGAGACAACCTTATCAACGCATTTTCGGAGGTGAAAGTCGCGCTCAAGAAAATATCCGAGGCGAAGGACTCGATCAAGGCGCGACTCGAATATATAGAACCGCTTCTCACTTCAGAGAAGCGCGTTTCCGTTCAATCTGTGCGGCCAATTCTAACTGCAAAGGCTGAAATGCATGATCGGCGCCTCAATAGTGTCCAAGGCAGCTACAGCAAGGTCAAATTCAACACGGCGCATACCACCAGTGCGATGCGCTTATTGGAGCAAGATGGCTCGCGTCACGAAGGCCCTACCGAAGCAAATGTTCAGCCAAAGTCAGCGGCAGTGACAAACTTCATAGCGGCCAGCGAACGCAAAGTATTCGAGTTCTCCGAGGTATCCAACCGTTTCATGGACAGCCTGAAAAACGGATTCACGAAAGCGTTGATCGAAGAGCGAAACAAACCACCACCAAAGGTCGAACGTGACTCGAGGATGCGAAGTGTTCTATCAGAAATGAGCGTGAAGATAGGCTCGCTCGAGTCTGATATCGCCTGTAAGGAAACGGTGTCGGGAGAGGACTTCTCGAAAGCTCTCAAACTCCTCAGCGTCGCGTGTCTCGGCGTCACTAACGATGCCTTCAACGTTTCGGCGCCGCTTGAGTGGACGGTCGACGACTGGGCCTGTCGCGAAGAATCCAGCAGCGAGTGTGGCTCGCTCACGTGCGTCGGTCCGTGTGCCTATTTTTACGGATACCTCATTGGCTTTCGGCTGACCATTTACCCGAGCAGTGACGAGCTTACTCTGACCCCATGCGTGCTTAGAGGCATATATGACGACTTCCTAACGTGGCCTCCGAGCTTGGTTCCCACGGTGCGGTTCGTCCACCCTGACGACTTCGATCGTGACGTAAGCGTAGCGGGTGGTGCCACCTGGAAGAACGGTACAACCAGGACTTATCATTTTCGTGATGTGCTTTTTGAAGGGCCGATCCTTCACATTGGCCTTCGAGAGTTGAAGGAAAACGACCTTATCGTAAACGACGTACTCCGCTTGCACTTCGAACTCTATCGTCCGAACACTGCACATTCCAGCATATAAGACCACTTGCCCCCTGCACTGTCCTACTGTGTTTGTATTTGTATAATTCCAGAACCTTTGACCGTGTCTCTGTTCACTCTCGTTCTTCCGCGCCTTAACATTCTTTTGCACAAACGCCGGATACATACATTGAGCTTTTTTTTTTCATTGCTGACAAGCATGCGTCATTCACGTAATAACCCAGATTCTTCATTAAGTGCATGCTCGCGGAAAACGGTGGGTGATAGCAGTTTTGCTTTTAACACTCGAACTTGGAGTTAAAATGTCTTGCAGAATATGCGAAATATGCGAAGATATCTCGTAGAAATATCGGAATAATTTGCGTGTATACAGTGCGCAGATGTATAGCGTAGAACAGCACGAGCGTATGAAAAAAAAATACAATAAACAAGGGTGACGTCCCACTTGGTTTGTATTATCTGAGACCATCTTCAAGTCTCAATACTGGGCTGGGAAAACTTAGTCCTGAACTGCACGCTTAGCAGGAGTCTCCCACATAGTGAGTGATAGAAATTTATTTCATCTGCATAAGATATCAATGAGTTTTCAAATAGGGGCGTCAAACATTGCGGGGGGGCCCCAAATAAATGGAGTTAAAGGCAGCTGTGCAGGCGCAAGACCAATACAGAATTTTGGTGTTGCGTTGGGTACGCTATTTCTCTAACTTAGTGGGAGCTCAAAAGCCTCACCCATACGCTTCGCGTCAGACAAACATGGCGGTACCTACTGGAGAGGGGGCTCTCGGTGAACACCATATTGTCCAATTTCCGAGCAATGGATGACACTATTAATAAAAAAAGTGTTGGCATAGGCCACCGCTTTCTCTTATCCCACTCGTACACAGAAAACTACTCTTGACTGATGGCGGCAAGGATTCGGAGTTGCAGAATTCATGTAAATGACCAGCGAATTCACTACCGCTACACTTCAAAAAATTATTTTCCTTAAAAATAAATGCTCGAACGGTATTTTTTGCGTGACTGCTTGTTACAAGCTGCCACTCTAGCGTCGCCAGCGCGAAGTCGGCGACGGGAATGACAGCAGGTTGGTTCGTTCCGTACGCAAGCAGAGACAGTGAAGAGATCAGAGACGTGAGAAAACAAAACAAACTTTACTCTAGTGATAGTGCAGCACACGGGATCTAATACAACACTTCAATACAACTAACAATATACATCGACACTTGATACAACTAAAGAAATATATAACAGAAACAATAAATCAGCTTACGAGAGAGAACTATTACAAACTACACAAAGTAACAAGAATAGAACAACGGAGGAGAAAGTTCGAAGATATAAACAGGTGAAGGCATACGTGTGATGACCGGCAGCGTTGCGTCCCCGACGATCGGAAGCGAGAAGTCGAAGAGAGTTCTGGCACGACTGCGATGTCGGCGGTGTTGCAACGCTGGTGGCTCCGGGAGGCTAGTGCTTGCAGGTGACTTCGAGCAGGTTGAGCTAACTCGAAGCGAAGTCCCGATGTCTACGTTGCCGACGTTAATATCGCGTCACAACTAGACGAACGGCTAAGTTTAGGTGGCCAGCCGATACAGAGCCACACTAAAAACTTCTAGAAGAGATGCTTGTTGATCTGTTTCTACACCATCTTGGTCAGCGACTAGTCTGCCTATAGCAGGGCAAAATCCTGCGCTTAAATCCCCCTCGTGTCTCCTCGCTCTCTTCCTTGGGGACAAGAGACCTCTACATGGGTCCAATCATGCGCGTTTAATTGATGGAAACTCCGCCCCAAAAATATTTTGACCCCACCCCTTTTTAATAGGGAGAGGGCCCGCAACTAGCGAGAGTGACAACCTGTCGGGTTGTTGTCATACGGCTTGGCCACCAGAGCGTTTCCCACGCTTTTCTCCGTGGGAACGGTCAACCACTTAGCTCTCAGCCGGGCGTCTTGTAGTCTAATCCTTGTACGGGGTATACCGCGGCCTTCTACGACCTTGCAGACGTCGCTACAGTTACAAAAGGATTAACTGTCGGCGGCGACGTTCTAAGGAGAGCACCCCATTTTGCACTTATCGGTTCCCTTTCATGTGCCGCCGTTTCTCACGGTCAGTCGGGGAGTACGGCGCCCGTTAATTGCCGTGACGCGGTGTCGCCAAAAATAGCCGTCCGTGACACTGCTTTTAAATTTTAGTCGTTGTAGTTTGTATACTGGTCGTCCTAGCACTGCACGCGCAAAACTCTAACGCCGAATGCAAAAACCTGTTCGGAAAGTTATTTGCCGCTTGACCCAAAGCCAAACCACAAAACGCGTTCTTGAAAACTCCCATTTATTATTCTGGAGGTGAACTTAGGCACAAACTTGGAGACAGCAAGGTAATTCAGCTTAGTATTCATTGCTAGCACACTGATATAAAAATATTGTTTCATTGTTTCCTTGTACAAGAAACAAGTTGTTGGGGCTAAACCCACAGTTTCTTACAGAGGACCCAACATCAATGTACACTGTTCGTAAAGCACTTAGATTTGTACATCCACATCAACATGGTCAAGAAAATACAACCGAGAAAAAAATATCAAACAAAAATTTGTCTTCCCATAACAATTGCGCGTTCACTATAGAAACAAATTTCACCTGAAACAGTGAATGATTCGGGAAGTTCTAATCGACCAACAAAGTGCTCTTTATCTGGCCGAAGTGAAAACCTGAGCAAGGCCCACCGTAGTAACTAGTGTGTGTCACTGCTAAGCAGAAACGCGTACTTTCGATTCCCAGCTAAACTGGCCACATATCTATCGAAACTGAATTTAGAAACATCCCAGTACACATAAAAGAACCCTATAGGTGGTGATTCCACATATCTACTCACTAATGCTTGTCGCCTAATCATGTTATTCACGCGTAAAACTTCACAATTTGCATAATATAAAGTCGGGCGATGTTCAAACATCTGCCTTACCTGAAGCCATACAATTACAAGTGGTGTATGCAGGGTATGATACACCGCGCCCGTGCCCCCCCCCCCTCGCAAACTTTTTCAATGGCATACAGCACACAAAATGATACTCGACATCTTCCAACCTGAACCTAACTTCAAATCAGGGTGGTCTGAAGTGAGGTTCAGACCACCCTGAAAAAATTTCGGCCTACGCCCCTGGGCAGTATTATACCGATTGGATGCCAACAGAGAAAATTAGTATGTGATCTAACCCCGGCTTGTGGTTGCAGGGCCAGGTAGGCAGTGCATGCAACCTTGACGTGACCTTTTTTTTTTCAGATGCCGAACTTTGAAATAGATAACCTCCCTGCTGTTGGCAAGTCACTCGGCTAATGAGTTACCTCCCCCGCCATTATGGTCTAGTGGTTAAAGTACTCGGCCGCTGACCCGCCAGTCGCGGGATCGAATCCTGGCTGCGGCGGCTGCATTTTCGAAGGAGGCGGAAATGTTGTAGACCGTGTGCTCAGATTTGAGTGCACGTTAAAGAACCCCAGGTGGTCGAAATTTCCGGAGCCCTGCACTACGACGTCTCTCGATCATATGGTAGTATTGGGACGTTAAACCCTACATATCAATCAATCAATCAATCAATCAATCAATCAATGAGTTACTTGCTACGTTTTAAAACAATGGTCCACAATATGCAGTCGCTTGTTACTTTTGGTTCATGCCATTTACACTTCCCATATCCTGCTATGAAATACACACTAAGCAGTTGAGAAAACGCAAGGAGCGTAGGTGCCTGTTTACGTGAGCTAAAAGGCACAATTCACGCAGTAAAGATTCACGCGCTTCTCTGTCGAGTAAAGTTGCCGTGTAACACACATCTAGTGAACGGTGCTAGTGAACGGGATATTACTATTGCATGAAGCTGTAGTAGAATTTTCACCACGAGACGCGTCGTGAATTGCGGTTTATTATTTTCTGGAACGACGCGTCTGAGTGGGCCTGCGAGATACTCTGCCCTAGCGAATGCGGCGCAAACACTCGCAGACCGCGGAGAGATAACCGGACCGTTACAGAACGTGCGTTCTGTTTCGGGCTATGCTCTGTGCGGTTTCCAGGCGCTCGTAGTTCAAAGCGAAAGGAGAACACTTGGCCCCAACGTCACGCTGGATGTCGAACAGTGCCCAGCCTTCGGAGATGTTCGGGATGTACATCTGATACTGCAACAGCGCAAAGCGAAAATGCAATATTAATAATTGAAATATTAATAATCAATTACCACACACATGCACCAGCACACACACATTTTTTACGAGTTCGTGCACCTCGTATTGCAACGCATTCTTATAATGCCTTTTTAAAACGAGTGCGTTTCACCGTCTAAAACGTTTGTTTACACGTGATATCATTGATCGTGATGATATCATTACGGTGATATCATTACACGTGAATTATCATTGATCGCATTCGACGATCGCATTCGACGGTGCAAGTAGCACCTTGGTGTCGGAAAATCGTCGAATGCGATCAATGATAATTCTGGGATGTGCGCGAGCATCGGAGGTTATGTTGGCATGAACCATGCCACAGACAAGAATATCAACGAATGTGCTCACAGCTTTTATTATACACTTGTATGTGGTTTTGCTGCGCACATGTTTACCGAACGAAGAAATTTATTTTTCACTAGCTCTTACTTACAGATATTACGTTAGAAAACCTTGCTGGTAAAAAGTATCCGCAGCCGTCCACTACGGCATCTTTAATAGCCCGAGACGTTTTGTGCTTTGAAACCGACAAATCAACCAAGCTTCCAGAAAGTGGTGCTGTGGCAGCTAAACTACATCGTACGCGTAATTAGAAGACATACGTTTGAGTTTCATGTGCGTTAATGTGTTTTTTTTTTGTCTGCTTTCACTTGCTTTCACGTTCTGGCCTTCGGTTAAATTAGAATGACGAATTTACCTCACACGTTTTTATTTATTCATTATTCACTGACTAGATGCAATTGTGACTGATGGTAGTTGACCAAGGCCGTCCGCTTTCCCACACTAGAAGGAATGTCCTCCAGCGAGTCGTCACACCTTTTCGACGATGCTCCGGTTGGACTCGAAGGTGACGTAGTACATGCGGTCGTCCTCCTCGCAGCTGACGTACTCGTACTTGCCGGCCGAGTCGTAGCGCCGCCTGCCGCTGAGCACGCTGTCGTTGCAGACGAAGTTGTAGTCCTCCATGTACGACCACGCACAGGGCCTGTCGGCGCCCGACGGCTGGCCGGTGCCCGGCACGCCGGCGTACAGCATCACGCCCAGCGTCGAGGAGAACAGGAGCCGCAGCTTGTCGCTCTCTTCCCGCAGTGACGTCACGGCAGCCTCGGCTATACTCTGCGGAGAAAAACAAAATTGGGAAAACACGTGACTCGCATCACTTCAAGGACCAGCGAGCTGACACAGAGTTCCGAACCACAGCCAGTCACACACACACTGCAAAATGTGCAGGAAGACTCATATTAAACTCCGCGTATGTGCACGTACCACGTAGGCAGGATAACGGCTGGCATTTAAGGGTAACTGACTGCATTACCAGAGAAGGCAAACATACGAAAGGGAGACAGAAAGTGAGGTGGGCTGATGAGATCAAAAAGTTCGCAGGTATAACGTGGCAATAGAAAGCACAAGACCTGGTTGATTGGTGGATCATGGGAGAGGCCTTTGCCTTGCAGTTGGTGTAGTCGAGCTGGTGATGATGATGATGGTACGTGAACAGTAAGTATGGGAGTTTTACGTCTCAGAACCACCTTATACGACTATGGGGAACGGCAAAGTGTAGGGCTACGAAAATTTTGACCACCTGGTGTTCTTTAACGTGTTGCAAAATTTGAGCACACGAGTGTCTAGCAGTTTGCCTTAATTGCAATCCGCCCGCCACGGCCGGGATTTGATCCTGCAGCATTCGGGTCAACGGCTTGGCCCCGTAACCGACCACCGTGGCTGGTAGCGTGCACCACTAGTTTTACAAGTGACCAGCATGTGTAATAATGCTGCCTTCTCCGTTTTAAGCTGTTTTGTCTGGCTTGCATGCCGCTGTGCTTAGGCATAGATTGTACTGTGTCCCATCTTAGGTCTGGTTGTCATTTGAGCACATATATACGCTCACGACATGTTCTATGCAATGTTTGTTTACATTGCGAGCTGTGCAAAAACAAAAATATGGAAAGACCTGCATTCTGCGGCGGCTGCATTTCCGATGGGGGCGGAAAGGTTGCAGGCCCGAGTACTCAGATTTGGGTGCACGTTAAAGAAACCCAGGTAGTCGAAAATTCCGGAGCCCTCCACTATGGCGTCTCTCATAATCATATGGTGGTTTTGGGACGTTAAAACCCCCAAATCAAACACCTGCATTCGATTCGATGAGTTCCAACCACATTTGCTGCTGTTGCATACTTTTCTTCTTCTTCTGGCACGACACACTTGGGACATAAGCTAGTAGTGGGTAGTCTGCTGAGGAGAGAAAAAGAAGTAGTTGGAACAATGGCGGAGATGTATTAATCAAGCGCGCTGTGTTTTCGGAACCGCGTTTCAGAGTGCTTTATTTATTGGTGACCCGGACTACGAACGCGACCTTCTATCTATCTCGACAGCCTCAGCCCTGGTACTGCTGCCACTGCACCCGGCCATGTGCCCTCTTCGGGTGTTGTTGGAGGTACTACTACCATGACGCTACCACAGCTGTTGCTTGCCGATCCCTCCTTATGGTTCATTCAAGTCGAGAACAAGTTCCGCATTCATCGCATCATGTCAGAAGTTCGCAAGCATGAGCTCCTCGTTGAAGCGTCGCCGCCCCAGGCAATGGCCGAAATGCGCGACATCCTCGTGGGCCCGCCTGGTGACACCCCATATACGACAAAAAAAATTATGGTGAGGCAGTAATAAAAGAACATAAAATAATGTGCCTCTGCCCGTGCCACCATGGCCCCTATACGACAGTCAAACAGGCTCTTCTTCACCGACTAGTTCCGCCAAAGCATCGGCGCATTCAGCAACTTCTGCGCAACGAAGAGCTCGGGGACCGCCGTCCCACACAGTTTCTATGTCACCTGCAGCACCTGCTTGGGGACCAGCCGGACGGCTCGGAAACATCCATACTACGTGAGTTGTTTCTACAGCGTCTTCTACCTACCATGTGAATGGCTCTTGTCCCAGCTCAGGATAAGCCGCTGTCGGAGCTGGCAGAAATGGCCGATGACATGATGGACGTTGCTCCGGCAAACATAAGCGCTGCCCACACCTCTCCGATTTCCGAAGCAAATTCCCTTCGTGAAACGGTAAAAGATCTCGCAGCTGAAGTCGCCAACTTGCGTCTGCAATTGCTCAGCATTCGCGACTTAAATGACCAGCCTCGTCCACATCGACCATCTCTCACGTCGGCTGCTCTGCAATGGCCCCTCCGCCAGCCCGAGCACTGCTTTTCACCGCAGAACACATGCTATTATCACCGGCGTTTTCGTGCCGCGGCTCGCAGATGTGTGCCACCTTGCTCATGGCGCATTGGAAACGCTCCGGCCGATCGTCAATAACAGCGGCGGGCGATCAAGACCAAGCATCAAGCCGCCTCTTCAACATCACCGACAGAACCACAGGTCTGCGCTTGCTGGTGGACACTGGAGCAGAAGTCAGCGTAATCCCAGCGTCCAAAACTGACAGGCGTCTTCGCGAGAAGCCAACTCCTTTACAAGCGATCAATTCTTCGGTCATCGCAACTTACGGACAGAAGTCTATGACCCTTGATCTCGGTCTCAAGAGGAAACTGCAGTGGTTATTTTGGATAGCAGATATACGCTACGCAATCTTAGGCGCCGATTTCTTAAGGCACTTTCATCTGCTCGTGGATATGAACCGCTGTCGCCTGGTGGATAGCTTATACCGGCTTATCGGTCAATGGTTTTCTGTCACGCGCTACGGCCCTAAACCCCACTTTCGTGAAACCGCCCACGTCCCCATATGCAGCTGTGCTCAACGAGTTTCCGGAGATTACAACGCTGTCTCCGATGGATAAGACCCCCCAGCACACTGTGACCCATAGCGTCATTACCACAGGCCCACCGGTTCACTGCCGCCCTCGCCGACTTGGCCCTGATAAACTTCGAATCGCTGGCAACGAGTTTGAGCATATGTTACAGTTGCAAATCATTCGTCCGTCATCAAGCTCGTGGTCGTCGGTGCTACACATGGTTCCCAAGAACAATGACTGGTGGCCCTGTGGTGATTATCGAGCTCTCAATGCAGTCACCGTTCCAGATTGATACCCGTTACCCAATATTCAGGACTGTACTGCCTTTTTAACCGGCACAACTGTATACTCGAAAATTGATCTTGTGAAAGCTTATCACCAGATCCCCGTTGAGCCTTCTGACATTCCCAAAACTACAATAATTACCCCATTTGGGCTCTATGAGTATTTACGAATGCCTTTCGGTTTGAGAAACGCAGCTCAGGCATTTAAGCGTTTTATAGACGAAGTCACAAGAGGCTTACCGTTTTGATTCGCCTATATCGACGATCTTCTCGTTGCCAGCAAGGACGCTGAAAACGCACAAGGCACATCTACGTCAGCTTTTCACTCGACTGCGTGATTACGACCTTGTCATCAATGTAGAAAAGTGTCAGTTTGGAGTCTCGGAGATAGCATCCCTCGGACATCAGATCACTAAAGATGGCATCACTCCTCTACCTGACAAGGTTCAAGCTATCCTCGAGTACCCGCCTCCCACGTCCATACGCAGTCTACGACGTTTTCTCGGACTCGTCAATTTTTTATCGCCGCTTCATCCCTACATGCTCTACACTGCTGCAGCCTCTGGAAGCAGTATACTCTCGACTTCACAAGCCGAGTCAGCCGCACTTCCCTGGGACACTGTCGCGGATCAAGCTTTTGCCGCCGTTAAGACCAAGCTCGCCCAGGCCACCCTCCTGCACCACCCTTCACCAACTGCTCCCACTAGCCTCATGGTGGACGCTTCTTCAGAAGCAGTTGGAGCCGCTCTTCATCAACGGATCAATGGTGCATGGGCTCCAATTCGCTTCTTTTCCCGCAAGTTACGCGACGCTGAGCGCCGATATAGTACTTTCGGACGGGAGCTCCTCGCGGCCTACCTTGCGGTGAAGCATATCAGATACTTCCTTGAAGGGCGACAATTTGCCATTCTTACCGACCACAAGTCCCTTGTTTCGGCTTTACGTTCCTGCAGTGCCAAGCACACTCCTAGAGAACTTCGACACCTTGCTTTCAGTGCCGAATTCACCACAGACATACGTTATGTAAAAGGCAGCTTTAACATTGCAGCGGACGCTCTCAGTCGTATTACCATAAATGCCACGACAGGCACCACCGACCTTTCATTGTCCTCGCTCGCGAAGGCACAGGCATTAGACGATGAGCTTCCACGACTGCGATCCTCTACTTCCCTCCGACTGGAACAAGTCAACTTTACCGACGACGACGTTACGCTCTGGTGCGATGTTTCACACAACTGCACTCGTATCTATGTTCCTTCACAGCTTCGTCGTGCTCTTTTTGACACCCTCCACTCCATCTTCCATCCAGGCGTAAGCGCTACGCAACATCTGGTCACTGAACGCTATGTTTGGCCGCGCATACGCGCTAACATTCGTGACTGAGTTCGCACTTGCAGAGCATGTCAGCGTATCAAGGTGCAACGGCACACCAAGGCTCCACGAGTAAAATTCCCTCTCCCCGATGCACGGTTCGACACCATTCATTTGGACATTGTCGGGCCATTACCTCCATGTCGGGGAAATACGTATTTGCTTACGTGTATTGACAGGTACACTAGGTGGTCTGAAGCAGCTCCAATGCCTGACATCACGGCAGAAACAGTTGCTCGTACCTTTCTTGCTACCTGGATTAGCCGTTTTGGTGTACCATCAACGGTGACTACTGATCGAGGCAGACAGTTTGAGTCAGCGCTTTTCACCTCTGTCACATATCTACTGGGTTGTGCGCGTATTCGCACAACTGCGTATCATCCAGAATCAAATGGTTTAGAGGAGAGACTCCACCATCATCTAAAAGCAGCACTCGCCACGCAGCCTCACACCAAATATTTGGTATCACACCTCCCCATCGTGCTTCTCGGCCTGCGTTCAACACTTCGGCCTGAACTTGCCTGCTCTGTAGCCGAGATGGTTCATGGCTGCACACTCCGTTTGCCATGGTGACCTCGTCAGCCCCGTTACTACGCAGAGTGTTTCGGATCTATCTTCTTTCGTCCAGCGTCTGTGGATCTTCATGCAAAA